CCTTTGGGTGACAGTATTTCAGTGTTTCCAGTACACACACATTCTCTCTCTCTCTCTCTCTCTCTCTCTCTCTCTCTCTCTCTCTCTCTCTCTGGGGAATTAGCCGACATCTGTAATAACTGGAGAGATATTTGTGGACTTTTTATTCTGCAATATTAGATCGACCTAATGATTCCCAGTAGCAAGGGTAAATTCCATGTAAGAGAAATGGAAAGAAATGCAGAGCACTTCTGAGGGCCAGTTTCCCATGTTCATTGCTGGGCCACCCAGGTTTATGTCTGGGAAATCTTTTTGTGAGAAAGGCTTTATTTTACTCATACATGCTTTTTTACAAGTACAGGGTCCTATTGCAAATTCCATTAGAGGGACACTGCCATGCTTTGCAAAGAAGAAAAAGTCTTTCAAAGATTCATAGGTGGAAAATGCTTTAACGGACAGGAAATTTCTTTGTGGGTCAGGAACAGTAGCCGAACATTGCCTGTGCATCTTGATGGCAGCTTTAATGCTAGGGTACACAGTGCTGCTTGCTAAATTAGAGGGTGAAGTAAGTGTCCACTCTACATGGTAAGAAGGCTGTCAGGGAAGAAGCTGACAGGTTCTTTGTGTTTCATGATGACAAACTGCCTGATGCGGCAGGCTGTGCTGTGATTTTTACCCTGGAGAGGAGCGAGCTCTTGCTCTATTTACATAAACCTGCTGATTTGCTGAGGGTTTCAAAAGCAGAGAGGGCTTTCTTTGCCTTGAGAATTTGTCTTCACGTTTTGGCTGACTTCCTTCCCCAGCTGAGCGAGTGCTCTGTTATTTGCAGATGGCACAATAAATTCTTGGACACAAAGCTCTGTTGAGATTGTGAGAAACAGCCGGAAACACCCCTGCTCAATATTGTGGATTTTATTGCTCCCTGTTAACAAGAATTTTAGGTCACTTAATAATGTGATCCATTCCTATGCATAGGTTGGTTGGTAGAGAATAAATCTCAGTGAAAACTCATGATTTTATTTCCAGACATTGCTAGTAAAGAAAAATTGGTTATCATGTATTGTTTGGAATAATTGATATTGATGATAATAGCCTCCTTAATTTTTCTGGCCTATTTCAAGCATACTGATTTAAAGATTTATATATCTATATCTATATCTATATCTATATCTATATCTATATCTATATCTATGTCTTGCAGCAACTGGTTGTTCATTTGTTAAGTAGGTATTTTAATGTGGGTAATTTTGAAAATGTGCATTATGCATTTAATGAATTGCTGCATCAACTTTGCTCAGTTGTTTCAAAACTGCTAGCTTTCTAATAAAGAAAAGGCTCTTTTTATTTAAACACCATGAACAACAAAAGGTGCCTGCCGTGGTTGTGTTGGCTGTGGGGATACCAGGTCAGGGATCATTGATCTAGCTGACTAAAACCAGTGGTACAACCAGTCTTAGACAGTCCATGTATTAAATAAGTTTCATAAAAATCTTGCCAAATCAGTTTTACTTTAGAAGATTCTGGGCCATACATTCCAAGCAAAATTTTAACATTGCTCTCAACTTATATTCTTGTCTTTCCCTTCCCAAATAAGCCATTTAATTTTATTTTAATTATAAACGTTTGTATAAAATATTTTCCTAAGTAGCTGCTTGATTAATGAGATGGAGGAAATACTTCTTATGAGTATTTGGCATTAACTTAAGCTTGTTTTGAATAGCATTCAGAGTAACAAAAAGTAGATTGTTTTCTATGAAACTTGAATTCTGAACTGGTTTTTAAAAGAAAGTATTCTCTTTTAGTTGGCTCACCCTAATTTTTGCAGGAATGTTATAAAGAAAAGTGGACTCTACAATAATTTTTAATGCCTTTATTTTAAAAGTAAATTAGACAAATCATTTCAAAACAGTATATTCCTTTCCCTCATGATAAGTTTGACATGGCTGTAACAATTTTAGTTCATATTATCCCTAATCTTATCTGTAGTTTGCTACTGTTAGGTCATATGAACTCTAAATTTTTTTACTTAATTTTGTAGAGTGGTTATCTGACTTTTTTCATATGTGTTTCAAAGTACTGATAGAGGTTGCTTGACATAACTACTTGTTTTACAGATTACTATTCTAGTGTATTGGGACCTCCTATGAAACCATTGCTTTTGACAATTTGGGTTGCCACGGTAACTTTTTTAAAAAAAAGGATAGCTGTTTATCTGGGACTAATGATGAATAAGTAGCCACTATAATTCCATGCATCAGGTATGAGGATCTGCTGTCTCACACAGCCTTGTCCCTCATGGCAGCATTCTCAGCCCAGCTCAGGAGAGCCAAGGCAAACAGACCCTAGAGGCTACCTTGACATGTTGGCATTTTCCTCTCCTTACCTACTCTAACAGCTACATTTTGGCATAGTTACAAGCGATCGTTTTTCCACCTGTAACTTTACAGTAGAAGATAGAACACATCTTCTCTCACCTTTTCTGGAAAGTCCTTTTTAATGTATGAGGTAATAGTTGCTTTATGTTTTAGAGTTAAAAGGGTTTGTAGCAAAAGTGATTCTGATGGTTCTAAAAAAACCACGAAAAGCCTTTATCTAAAAAAGAGCAAAATCATAATGTTATGCTCACTAAGCGTCTGCTGATGAATTCAGTTCTGACTTATGTTACTCACATTGATGTCTGATATTAGTCTTAGTGGATCCAGGGAATGTAGAAGTTGTATGGTTCTCTGAGCTGTCAAGATTGATGGCAAGTGCAGACCATCTGAATGCTGAAAACCAAGCAAACAGGGAATTTAAATTGCTGATATAATATTAAGAAAAGGAGGTGTTGTCATTTCTTTGCAGAGGAGCAAGGAGAATTTAGTCCCTCCGCTGCTAAGATAGAATTAATCATGAAGTTGGTATGATTAGGACCTGGTGGAATGAAAAAGGATTTGGCAGAGATCATGTGAAAGAACTGGTGCTTCTTTTGAAGAATGCAGCCTAGGAAAGCAACAGTGTATAGGTGTGGGACCACATAATGGTGAGCAGAAACTTTTCTTTGATCACTTGAACCTTACCTGAATGGAAGTCATTAGTTGGGAAGAGATCTATTTGTTTTAATGTCAATAAATAATAGGCTGTGATGGTCTTGTATCATGAAAGAACACAATAATGGTTTTTCCATAAGAGGTGATAGGCAAGGGCATGTAGACTGTGGTTTGTGTTCAGGTTGAGTGAGATTAATATATAAATGATATCTAGAGATTTGGGATACAAGAAGAGAGTACAGCCTGGACTAGAACACAGAAATTAAGACTTTGGTTCATTCAAAAATTATATAAAGTGGAGCTGTAGTTTTAATCTAGAGTATTTGGTTTATTCTGCTTTTACTTAAATACTAGGTATGGGATATAAAGCAAAGTATTTGTCCTGGTGTGAAGGTCTGTAGCTTGTTGTTTAAGATGACTAGTTATTAAGTGGATGTTACTGGATGTTGAAGCAGAATTATTCAACATCTAGGACCCTGGAATAACTTGAAAAGCTCAGTTAATAACTCATTCCTGAGATGCAATGCAGATTCAGGGATTAAACCTCTATTTGAGTCCACATCTAAGTAGAGATACTGGTTGGAGACCTGTGACATTTGGAGTTCTTGTGTGGCTTTTTGGTACAGTGATCTTGATGTCCTGTAGTGTTTCCTTGAAGGCTGTGCCCTTCAGTGAGAACTTTCTTCATGATCTCAGTGTTAGTGAGTCTGCTAGTGCTTATGCTGAGACTGATCTGTCCAGGGGAGAGATGACTCCAAATCCTTACTCCTTTCTCTTTCTTGGCTCTTAAGACATTGACAAGTGAGACAGTAGAAGAATTCGCTTGTGTTGTCAAGAACTTGAGTTAGTCTCAGATGCACTCATTCTGAAGAGCCAGGGGAAAGAATAAAATGAAAACCATTTTTGGTATATTATGATCACTCTCCCTAGAAGGTTTGGTTGACTGTGGATACCTTTACTTCTTAGTAAATAATATGTAGACATTTCTGCCTTAAGCTTTATGATGATTATCAGCTGTAATGTGGAGCCTTACCTTTATATTGATGTTGTTTTACTTAAAAAAAATCATTGCTTGCAGGGTGAGGGTGGGCATTGCAGAACTAGGGATGGAATCCAGGGCCTCCCACATGCTTGGCAAGTGTTCTACACTGAGCAGTATCCTTAGTGTGCCTTTTTGGGCTTGGGTTGTGGTGGTGGTGGTGATGGTGGTGGTATCTTCCCATGACACTCAAAAAAAGGCATCCTTTTAGACTCCAGCTGTTGAGAACATCAATAATTGCCCAACTACTACTATATCAAGTGTAATTTAAGAAAGTGTTCTTCTTCCCAGAAGAAAATGTAATTTGGTTTATTTCATTCTAGGATTGGCTCCTTGGTTTTCTTCATAATTAAAAAATAAAATGTGTTTAGGTTAATATTCAATTGTAAGTTATCCACAAGAGATTACATTAGTTTTCTTTTTTGGTTTAGGTAAAAAGGTCCTTTTAGTAACATAGTCAAACTAGTCATCTTTGCATAGTCTGTTTTCTTACAAAATAGTAATTAAAAATAAAGTAGCACTTGGCAAAGCCATATCTCTTTGTGAAGACATGAGAGCATCTGCCTGAATAAGTCGTTCCTTATTTTGTCTTGCTGTGCAATCTTGAGCAAGTAATTCCCTTTATTTAAATTTGGTCCTCTGGATGTGGGTAGTCCTGGGAGATTGGCCCTCCCCGTGTGTGTGTGTGTGTGTGTGTGTGTGTGTGTGTGTGTGTGTGAGATTGAGGCTTTCTTAGGTTCTTTAAAATTACCAGAAAACAGCTCAAAAAGAAGCAAATGTGTATTTTCCTTTAGGTTCAAGTTATTTATAGCTTAATATCTTTGGGAAAATGTCTTTTAGTTCTATGAAGGGCATGTGCTATGTCATTTATTTACTTATGCAGAGGCTTTAATGGGTTCTTTGTACCCGTAAAGGTAAATCCCATTGTTTTAAAATTTCTTTTTCTTTTAAAGACTGTGTGTATATCGAGAGTCGGAGGCCAAACACACCGTATTTCATCTGTAGCATTCAAGACTTCAAACTGGTAAGCATTTTTAATGTGCTGTTCCTTTTGTTCTGTATCTTCTGTTTCTGGTTCCGTTCGCTGTCCGTTTTGATTGCTGTTCCATCACTGTTGATGCAATAACCAGTCTGCCTTCAGTGCTGACTGCCTCTTGGCAGTGCACTGAGAGAAGGCAGAGGCTAGTTTCATCTTTTCACTTTTGTAACAGTGTTATAATGCTTTTATATTGTGAACAATGTTTCTGAAGTATTTATTGCTTTAGTAGGTATTTTGACAATTTCAGGTTCTCTGAGTTTTTGAAGTAGTTCGTTTCTTCCCAGCCACTGTTAAGAGCCTGATGTCAAGTTAGGAATTAACCAGTAGGGGAAATAGTATGAACTAGCCAGACACTAGTTTCTTGTGGTCTACTGTAATTATCTTTGATAAAGTTGTTTGGTATGGAGTACCTGTTTTGGGGGTACCTGAACCTGTTTCCCGGGTCTCCCAGAGGTAGAATTTGGAAGGAGGCATGCGTAGGTATTGCGCTTTCAGATTGAAAACTTATTTCTGACTGTGTTGGTGTGGATATTACCCGTTGTGAAATCTCTTGGTCTTTAGACCAGTGGTTCTTAACATTTTGGGTTTTGGGTTTCTAGATGTCTGTAAAAATCTTGCACTGGTCTGCAAGTAAACATTCCCACTCTTAAGTACATACATGTACCTTATAGGTATCTATAGAACTGTTTTTTAAATGTTAATATGTTGTATTTTTTCCCAAAATTCACTTTTAAGAAGAGTATATAATTAAGAATCACTTTATTACATATTTTCTTTAACCAACCAATATGTGAAATGGTATCAAAGTAGTATGATTTGGGAATTTTTGGAAACATTTTGATCTTAGGATAGGATTCTTGAGGTTGTGAAACATTGTCTATACTGTTAAGTATTGATAAATTCTAATTCTTTGGCTTTGTAGAGAATCTTTGTAGAGGATCTGTATCAATATCTGTGAATGTCCCATTTTTAAAACCCTTTGCAAATCAACAATATTTGTGTTCTGGAGAGTACTGTATGTGGTATTTCAGTGTAAAGAAAAGTAGTGTAGCCTGAAAAGATCTTTAACTCTGCACCTCATTTATCTCTTCCTATCATTTTCAGTGGTCCTAAGCATTCAGTTTGTATATTATGACCCAGCTAGTTAACAAATTGTGTTATTTTTCCTTGTTAAGAAGTTAATGCAACAGTAGCACATATCTGTTGTTTGAAAGGGGAATCAGCAGTGCCACTTCGTTCTCAGATTGATTTCAGTATGAATGTTTGACATGTTTGGTCTTTGCTCTGTATTATATCTTTCCTTACAAAGATTGTTTTTACAGATACTGCACTGACACTTGAGAATTTGGGAGGTGACCTTGATCCCTGAAGAGTTTTATTTTGGTTGTGGCTGCTGCTACTGTTTTTTCCCTGCTTATTATCTGTGTGTGTGTGTGTGTGTGTGTGTGTGTGTGTGTGTGTGTGAAGAAGAGAGAGAGAGAGGAGAGATATTTTTACTAAACCTAATGCCAATGCATCATGGAAAATCTGTAGCTGTGAAATAAAATTGTAAAGATTTTTCTTTTACCTATTTATTAGCTTCTCAGCCCCTTGGACAGGTTTTTTTTTTTCCTGCACATTAGCAGGCACGCTCGTGTTTGAACAGCATCTCTTATGCTGTGTTGATCATACTGTGATCGTTGCTGTTCTGGGCAGAGGTTCCTGCTGAGTTACAGTAATTGCTCAGGGTACTAACAGCAATAAAAGCTGAAGCTTCTGTTGTCAGTATTGGTCTGGTACAACACATTAAAGCTGTCTGCAAAAACAAGTGGGAAATAGGGTGTAGATGTTTAGATGCCCTTTTCTAAATTATACACTGATAGTTATGGTTTTGTTTGAGGTTCTATATTCAGTACATAACTTGTAGTTGTTGTATAAGAATAATAGAATGAAATATTTGCTTCTGGAAGAAATGTAGTTTTCCCTTCTTTGGTTTTCTATACTTCTTGTGAAAAAATAACCAAATACATGAAGATAATCAAGATTTTTTTCCTGTCTAGTTTACCCAAGTGATAAGGGAAAAGATGTGCAGAAGGAAGTATGCTTTGTTTCTCCGCAAGATTTTAAAAAGAAGAAATTGGGAGTTGGTTTTGCCTGCAGCAAGTAACATGGCAAGTGCAGCAATGAAAAAATGGAAAGAAATATCCAGTAGCTTTGAAATGCTAAATAATTACATCTTTTATCTTTTTAGCTGTTATGAAACAAAACGTTGGTTTGGGATTGTAACTGAGAGACACTTCTTTGTTTACACCAGAAATCAAACCTAACCAGTTTTCCACGGTGGGTATTAGAGAATAAAGCGTATTTGGGGACTGTAAAAAGAACTGGGTGGTGCACTTTATGGGACACATCACAGTTTGACATTGTTGTAAGGTGAGATGATAGCGTTAAAGAAGGCAGAAGCTAATGAGTGAGAAGTGGGGGTGGGAGATGTCTTCTACTAGTCATGGATGCTACGATAGGCATGATGCCAAGTGACTGAACTCGGAGGCCCTGGGCAACATTTCATGAACTTGTTCCATGTGAGGTGAGAGGCTGCATTTGTTCCATGTGAGGTGAGGTGGAAGCCTGGGCTGTCATCCAGTCCTGCCAGTATACTCCCTTAGTATCTGAATGCATGCATAAAACAGCCACCTCTGTGTCCTGCTTTATATCTTTGATCTGGTCAGACTATTTAAAGTCTCCCCTTTCAGTTTCAGAAATTTCAATTTGGATGATAGGTCCTGTGGTCTTCTTTTCCACAGGAAAGGTATCTGTGGCTCTGTTCTATTTATGTTGAACCATCAGAACCCACAAGGCCACTCTGTCCCATACTTTCTAGCCCATACTTCCAGAGGTGTAAGTGGAGGCTATGATAGTGCAGAGTAATTAAGTTCCTACCTGAACAGAGGTTTTTAAAGGTAGCATTTTTAAGGCATGTGAATTATGTATTCCATTAGGAAGCCTTTGTTCACTAAGAAAGTGTTCATTTGGGCTTACTTCCAAACTGGGAGGTCTGCTTTCATTTGAGTGTACTGACTGAAGTTACCTGTGGAGGTAGTAATCAAAAAGCAGACTTCAAGATAGCTGTGGAGGTGAGGTGGACAATATATGCTTAATGAGAAGCAGAAGAAAGGAGGAATATCAGTTAAATAACGCTATTTGGCACCATAGATTTGTGTATTTATCTCATAATGCTGAAATAGCTGGCAAAATTCTTAGCTCTTTAAAATAATAATAATATGGAATGGCAGTCTATGATTTTTTGTTCTGGCTTGAAAAGGTTAGTTGAAGCCGGTTTTGTTTTTAAGAATTTTGATTAGGAGCTGGGCATGGTGGCACAGGCCTGAAATCCCAGCCCTGTGGGAGGATGAGACAAGAGGATTTCAAATTTAACCCTTGCCTGGGCAGCCTAGTGACTTAGTGGGACCCTGTATCAAGCTAAAAAATGGGCTGGGGACTGTAGTGCAAAGGCCTTGGGTTCACTCTCCAGTTCAACATTCCCTGCCACCCCAAATTTAGCTTTGAGAAACAGCAGAGGGGCAAAGCTGACAGAAATGAATCAAGAAATGTCCTAATGAGGGCAACAAGGTTAGGACAAACAGGGGCAAAGCTCACATGTTAGATTTCTGAAAGCAGGGGCTGTGAGGGAAGTGAGCTGCATGGCTATATCTTCTCTCTGCTGAGTTCTCAGGTTATCCTGTAGTTCCTGCTCAGTAAAGGTACTTTTACGTGGGCTTAGATTGAGTGGGTCCTCATTCACTGAAGCTGACTGCACCTGGTGTAGCATCTCTAACCCCGTCTTCTGCTGCCCTTCCATAGGTTTATTCAGTGGCTCTATGACTTAGTTTGCCCTGAGGGTTTTGTTCCTGCATGAGTCACATCATCAAGGAGTATCGAGTCCCAGAGTACAATTAGGAATGTTTTGGGCTGTGATCAATGCTTCCAACTGGCATTTACTGAAAACCTTGCTTTTGTGTTCTTTGTTGAACTTGACACTATAAAAGGGGCCAAAAAGTGCGAAATACTCTTCTTTCTTTCAGTGATCTTAGATTCTAATTAAACGTACAATTTGTGGCATTATTAGATGTCACTTCTTTTTTGGAGAATACTCTCAATAGGATTGACCAAAGAAAGCCATTTACTTTTCTAAGAGGAAAATTTATCTCTTGCTTTTTACTAACACCAGTAAAATTCCTTTTTTAGAAACCCTCTTTTATAGAAGTCTTAAGCATTCTAGAGATGATCTGCTGTCTAGAAATAATCATGGAGTCTGAGAATGCTAACAAAGAAAATCACTGAGATTAGTAGTTTTGATTCAGTATAACTCGAAGGAATTCCTTAAAGAGTAATTCCCACCTAATTCTTATTCATAGGTCAGTAATTGAAGCCATTGCTTTAATATTTCACAGGATTTGTTTTTTCTTTTTCTTTCATGGGAATTTTATGTGAATGCTTGAGTTGCCCTTATTCATACAGCAGAAGGAAGTATAATTTTTGGCCTCCTGGAGTTACGTAAGTGTAGCTGTTACAGCAAGTGAGTTTCCAGGTAGAATATGTAATTATTACAAATACTATTTTTGGCAAATACTACTGATTCATTTTTATTAAAACTGGGAAAATAGTCCTTAAAATCAATCCTCGTTTAGAGACTCTCAAAGGCAGAGCTGTCATTAGGGCTGGGCTGGTGGTGTCAGTGGGCTGTTAGTTGACTGAGGGCATTGTTGTGCTTCTCTGGGAAGGAGCTTGCTGTTGTACGCTTTGTTTCAACCAGCATAGGTTCTCAGTGCTTGTTGTGAGTGTGGAGTAGTTTAGGATACTTACACTGGTTACCTTGGCGAACACACATCTCCACGGCTGCTGTGAATGTGGGGCCGGGTTTATTCATGTTTTAATACCATATCCTGTCTTTCATTGCATGTGTGAGCAGCTGGTGTGTGGCGGGAGCACTTGAGATTTCTCTTTGATCTCTGGTCTGTACCCGTAACCTTACTGAAAAGCTGACCTGTCAGTTTTTATGCATTTGTTTGCTGACAGCACAACAGTAGAGGGCTGCAGAGAAATGATCCTTAACTTAGGTTTCACACAATGGAAATTGCTCTCTTCACCAAATTTACTTTCGCAGACATGGATTAGAAGCAGTAAAAAGCTTTTTCCTTGTTTAAAAAGAAAATTAAAAAATTTTTTATTAGTAATAACTTAGTTGCTTCTCATTTTTTGTTAGAAACATAGGAGATATCAAGTAGAGATTTCATTAGCTTCCACTTTTGGGTACATTATGTGCACACCGTCAATTACCAGACTTAAGCATTATTCACCATAGTTGTTTATGTCCAGTTTGACTATTGTCACCACACAGAATAGAACAGAATGTATGGACTGTGGACATTCTGGAAATGGGCATTCATTTTAATAGTAGGTAAATCTTGTATTAGAGCCTTTTTCAGTTGAGGGAGGAAATCCACTTTAATTTGAACATGGCTAATTCATATTATAAGATGTGTAGCTCTGGGGCTGAGCTGAAAGGTAGTAGATGAAGAGGGGTTGAGAGTTTGGATTTTGATTACAGGTTGACCGGGTTCCTGTGCCATCAGTTCCTGTGCCAACCCGTACCCATGCTATCAGTTGCTGTCTTTCGTTTTCTTGGGCAAACCAGTCCTTTGAACTTAGCCTAGATATACCTATGAAGTTGGGACATAAGACCTGCCTTCCCAGTGGGTTGTTTTTAGATTGAGAGACCAGACCTACAAATTGCCCAGCCCCTGTTCTGTCCACAGAATAACTGATCATGATGTCAAGGTCTAGTTGGCGGTTTCGGCTTGTGCTTTGCAAGGACAGATGCCATTTATATTCTCTGCACTAAAGAGTACTGTGTGCTTAGCACATTACTTGATCAAAATGTCCAGAGTAAATATTGACTATTGACTGAATTACCATTACAGTGGGGAAATTTCACTGGCTAAGTTTAAAAAAAAAAACAACAATAAACCTTTAGTTGTAGTTGTTTTGACAAAATGAATTAACTACAAATTAATCCTATTTCCACCAGAAAAGTCTTACAAAATCTGCTAATCTACCTTTGGTTGGCCTGGAGTATGGAGTATTTTATGTATTTAAATAATAAGGCTATTTCTTTAAAAATACTTATTTTTACAAAATAAGGTTTATTACTCTCCTCCATAGTTTAAATGAATATAACCAAATGAATATAACCAAATGAATATAACCAAATATAACCAAATGAATATAACCAAATATTAAATGAATATAACCAAAGTCAAAGCACTTTTAAGGTGTGATTATATTCTACTTGAATTTTCTATATGCTGGCTTTTAGTAAAGATAAATGAGGCCTTAGTCCTTATGTGAAAATCCCAGAAAAGGCTGCCTATTATGAGAACTGCTGTGGGGAGCCATGATCAGTTTCTGTGTGAAACAGTGACTGTTTTGCTTTTGTTTCTGGTGGCCCCTCAAGTTAGGCCTACAAAATTGAGTTTCTTTCTGTACTCCTCCTCCTCTTAGCTTCTTGAGTTGTGCTCTCTGTAAAGGTCAGTACCACCCAGTTACAGCTTTATGATTTGGATATAGTGATGGATAGTGAAGCGAAAACCTTAAAGTTTATTGCAGAGTGTTTTTAGTACCATGTAGAGTGCAGACTTAAGCATTATTTAAAGAACTAGTGGAATGGACAGCTGAGACTTTCAGAAAAGAGTTAGTCTTTCCATTAGTTTAGTTGTTCTGTCAGAAATGAGTGCATCATTGTGGTTCTATCCTTCTTATACTACAATTCCCTTTTTTCCTTAATTTTTAAAATAGATACATGGTAATTGTACATATTTATAAGGGACAGTATACAGTGGTTTCTAAGTAAGAAATCGTGCGTAGTACAGAATTGGCAGGAGAATATTTTTCTAGAAGCTGCACCTGTTTTTTTCTTGGTATAAAAGGCAGTCTTGCTTGTACCAGTATTGTATGCAAGTATAACAGAGCTGGACACAGTGACACAGGCCTATAATTCCAACACTCTGGAAGGCTGAGGCAGGAAATCTGCAAATTCGAGCCCAACCTTGAGTTTAGTGACTCAGTGAGACCTTGTCTCAAAATATAAAATAAAAAAGGGCTGAGAATATAGGCTCTGGGTTCAATCCCCAGTACTGGTGGAGGAAAAAAAAAAAAACACAAAATGAGCTGAGTTTGGTGGTATATACCTGTAATCCCAGCTACTTGGGGTTCTGAGGCAGGAAGATTGAAAATTTGATGCCAGCCTAGCTAAATAGTGAGAACCTATGTCAAAACAGAACCAAAAAAAAAAAAAAAAAAAAATGGCTCGGAATGTAGTTCAGTGGTATACAGATCCTGGGTTTGATCCCTAGTACCAACACTGCACCCCCCCCCTCGCCTCCCCCAAAAATGTATGGTAGAGTGCAGGCGTTAAAAATGCACCTTATTTTGTGCATAGACTAAATGTCCTTTGTGTTTGTAATGTTGATTGAATCCTGTAAGTGTTACAGGTGGAATTAAGTACCTTAGCTAGGAGCCAGATGGGCGTGTTGGAGGAGGAGGTTGTTGGGAGTCCTCTCCCCTTCTCAGTTATGGAGTAATGATGGTGGAAGATTTTGTTTTTTAAACTACCATGTCTGTTTTGCATGATGTGGATGTTAATTTAAAAGTGGATGGAGAGGTACTCACCCAGGTGGAAGTCACCATGAGGCTTTGGGAGTAAGTAATCTCAGAGCATCTTATTGACTCCATTTCCTCTGCTTCTCAGCAGTCTGTTTTCACTCTTGGCTGATGGACAGGATGGGCTACTGGCATCCAAAGTTTTAATAGTGCACAGTTCTGTACAAAGAGATTGGGCACTTTCTCATAGTTAAATTGGACTTTAGGACTCTAAGAATCGTTGAAGTTTTATTTAATTATATGAATCACCATAAAATATCTAAAAAATGTTATTTACCAAGTTTGGTACCTACATGTAAATTGTTTTCTTGCAGAAAATCATAGGTATTGTAATTTTTTTTGGAAGGAGCCTAAGAAAGTTTGGGACAGTCTGATATTTGCAGAGAGCTGTGCAAGAATATTGATAAAGCCCTATTTAACCTTGATTCCTTAGAACTGTAAACTTGTAATTTGTGTGTATATGTACATGTGGGTATTTATATTAAAACCAATTCAGAGTAGTCTTATGAAAACCATTAGAACTACTGAGAGAAAATTAGGAAAAGTGAGACACTGTCACTGTTTTCTGATTAGTAAGAACAGTGATTTTCTCTGAGAAGACTCATTTTTAATGCTTAATGTTTTAATAATTATTTGCATATTTAAAATAATGCCAGGGTATTTAGAAATGCTTTACTAGGTTTTGAAAAAATTTAAAACTCTTAGTTTGAATGAGTAATTATTTGAATTTGAGATTTGAAGTTGAACTCTGGTTATTTGAATTAGTACAAGAAATTAACCAGAAATTCATTTTTATTTTGATAGTAATGGTGAAAATGTTAAACATATTGTACATTTGAGTGCAATAATTGGAGTGAATTTTTTGCTTGGAATTTGCAGTGCCGGCAGGGGGAGGAGGGAAGCGTGTGGTAGAGAAGGTTGTGACCACCACCTAAGATACTGTCTGTGTTGTCAGTGAAGCTGCGGAATCAGGGACTGACTGGATAGAAAGCTTATTTTGAGAGGCCAAGGATGTATTCTAGGTGGTAGTCTGAGGAGGAAGGAAGGTAAAGAAAGCGACCATGAGAAAGACATTCCCAATATTAGCTTATTTTCTTGGTGTTTTTCTTTAGGAAGGGTAGTAAAAGAGGCATAGAAAAATAAGTAGTTACGGATTTATTAAAACTTTGGTTTATAGAAGTTGTTAGAGTGATTATTTTTCAGAAATAATTGCAAGATGACATTGTTTTAATATTAAAAAGTTTGCTTACTTAAAATTTTTAAACAAATTTAAGAACAGAGATTCTTGTATATAACTGGATTTTGTGGAGTTTTAAACTTTATGTAATACCATATGAAATTGGATTGGTTAAAAAAAAAGTTGTGTGCTCTCTAGGATATTTGAAAGGCTACGTATTCAAACTGTTGTCTGAGGTATCTTGTCTGATACTTAGAAGGACAGTGCTGGCTTTCAGAAGTTGCTATCCAATCTTTCTCCACTTGTTTTAAAAATTAAAAAAAAAAGGATGTGATTCTTACTCACTTGGTTTTGCATCTAGAAGAAATAATGACTGTCCTGAACTTTATACTCTATGTCTGTCCATTATCCTCACCTTGTGGGCATTTTGAGAATTTAAAAACTCATTTAAATGCTTACATGATCTTTATAAAAATATGCTTTTATGCCTCTATTTACCTTGCCTTCAGCTTTCCAAAATTAAAACTAAAAGTTTGAGAAAGTAGCAGGGTTTTTCTTTGGCTGCTCTAATGCTTTGACTATTTCCTTATTAAGTGTGTCTTAGGCTCCTAGCATCTCACGTTAGAAATTCTTCTGAAAGCCTAGTTTGTCCACCTGTGGTTTATTTTACTGTTTTATTTGACACCTGACGTTTTTGCTTCTATTATAAGCAAAGCATGTCATCATTACTGTGCTTTGTCGCTGTGTCACATCTTAAGGTGGTTATTTTGAGGGGCACACACCATACACTTTATGACAGGACCCACACCAAGATGTGGAGGAGAAGGGTCATATGTTTGTTCACACTGAAATAAGGAAACAGCTTTGATTGATGTGAAAGCTCAACTGTAGTGGTAGAACAACTTCTCTGACATTTCAGAGCCCATCTGCTGAAGGAATTTTGCAGATGCCTACCTGTGTGCTGAGTGCCCCTAATAACCAGGGTATGAGTGGGCATTGGGCATGTTAACTTAAAACTGTTTTCTTTTTTAGGTCCACAACTCCCAGGCCTGTTGCAGATCTCCAACTCCTGCTTTGTGTGACCCCCCAGCATGCTCTCTGCCGGTGGCATCACAGCCACCACAGCATCTTTCTGAAGCCGGGAGAGGGCCTGTAGGGGTAAGGAGAATCCCGTTTTTAAAAGCTGTCAGTATTTTATATCCCATAGGGTATAAAATAGGAATATTACCTCCCTTCCCAGAGCCCCTTTAAAAATGTGCTGTATTATATGTGTTTTTAAAGGAGTAACAAGTACATGCACAGAGGAAGCAAAATACGGGACTTGCCTTACCCCTCTAGGACAGTTCCAGAAGTTAGTGGGGTTTGGTTGAAGGGTATTTTGGCACCAGCAGAGAGCATGCTGGGCTGCTGCAAGGAGCAGGAGCTGGCAATCAGCAGCGAGTATGGATGTTGGCAACTGAAATGGGGAAAAAAGGGGGTAAGTTCCAGTCCATGTGTATTTCCAGTCAATGTATATTTCCCCAGACTCTTTAGGCCTTGGCCTATGAATCAAAACTGTTCGAGGTGCTGTCCGGTCAGCGGATGTTTTGTAGAGGCTGTTGAGGAATTGGGAGGCTTTACTGTAATGCTGGATCTAGAATAAATACGTCCAAGGTTTGGCTGCAGTGCAGCCCTCCTTCTGTACTCTGGCGATCCTGTGCCTTGTCGGTGATGGGACACAGTAAGGTGCAGTGGGAGACAGTGGCTGTGGTGCTCTTCCCCCAGAGTCTAGGCCAGGGAGCGGTCACCACAAAGGTCCTTCCTGTGCAGGGTCGCTTCCCTTTCAGGAAAGGCGCGTATCCACTTGTCTTCCTTTCCCTTCCTGTAGGAGGAGTCACGGCGACTTCTAAAAGACAGGTATTTGTTCTGAACTGAGTGTTCGAGACCACTGCCCTCACTAGTAAAGTATAATCCAACTGTGGGACATACCTTTCTTACTAACAGGAGCGCTCACACAGCACAGGATTGTGCTGGTCTCTGCTGACCCGTTTAGTTGCGGTGTGTAACATAACATTCCTGTGGCACTAAGTGTGGCAATAAGAAGAGAGTCTTTCAGATGAGCTGCAGCGCTTGGGGGGACAGGACTGAGGAGTTGGTGGCAAGCAGAGCAGGGGAGTCTTCCAGGTGCACATGGCACGCTGCCCCTGTAATGACACAGGCTTGGGCCTGGCCAGTGTAGGGCACTGAACAGCTGGCCTGCAGGCCACTAAGGAGGGGCACAGGTCATTGAGTCTCAGGAAATGGAACTGGGATCCTGGACGGGGCAAGGTCATGGGCCTCGAAGGTTAGGCCAGTTGAGATTTTTTACACGTTAGGCAGGAAGAACTTGGAGTCTTTTTTCCTTCCAGGAAGCTGTCTTGCCAAGGTTCTGCTCCCAAGGACTCACTGGGCAGCAGCATGCTGCACATGGGGAAGCTGTAATTGGGAGACTAGGGCTTTCATCCTGTGCCACATGAAGAGGACCAAGCAGCAGAGATGGGCTGTTGACAGCAGTAACAAGAGCAGGAGTGTTGGTTACAAAATAATAGCATGTTTATATAGTAGCTGTAATTACTCAAGAATTAAGGGGAACCCCTCTCCCATAAAACAACCAAACTGGTTCACATTATAGAAGCCTTGAGTTTCTTTGAAATGATAATCATGTACAATAGAAGGTAGAACACAACATAGTGAGTAAAATTCTAATTCTTATCCCTGGGACTATACCAGTATATTGACATCCTGAGGGACAAATTAGTGAGTCCTGACTACCTACTTCTAACTCTTCAAGTCAGGCATGAAGACACAGCTTTCATCCCAGCACTTGAGAAGCTGAGGATCAGTGGAAGTTTGAGGCCAGCCTAGGCTACACAGCAAGACCCGGTCTTTAAAAAAAAAACTCTTCTGCCTTTATTGTTTGTTCCTATTGTACCTAAGAAATGAATTTATCTTTCAGCGTGGTCCTTTCTTTATTTACTCTCTGATTATTATGGTGTCAGTGTTAGACTGTTTTATTTAATCACAGTATCAACTAGGATTTGCTGAATGCATTTTATTTTTTATTTATTTAATTAGTTAGTTATTTGGTTTTTTTCCAGTACCGGGAATTGAATTTGCTACCTTGAGCTTGCCAGGCAGGCACTGTGCCGCTGAGCTAAATCCCCAGCCCCATGAATGCATTTTAAATTTTGTCCATAACACTGATTTTTAGTAAGCATTATATGATAGCATTAGTGATGGCCAGGATTTATGCTTTAGAAGCAATAGTGGTAAAGTTCATTGAGGATTTAAATAAATTCCAGATTGGTAGAGCACTGATACCATCATATGTAGGTGGTAGAAGATTCTGTAGTAAGATGCACAATCTTCCTCCAGTGAAGATGCTGCTGCATAGAGTTAACTGTATAGATTGTTCTTTAACGATGCTTTGCACTGCCAAAGTCACTTATGCTGGATCTGAGGCGGATCCAGTTGGCAGAGCTCCCCTCGCCCTTGTGTGGAGCTCTCATCAATTCTGCAGGCACGTAGATCTAATACAGTGTAATGAGAGAGCTGCTGGGAGAAAAAATTGATTACAGGGTTGCAGACAATGTCATTAACGTTTCTTGCCATGATGCACCAGATGTCTTCTCTAATAGACTATTTTTGTTAATTTCATTTTTATAGGATAACATCGATTGCATCATAATTTAACTTTCTTTGCATATTCAGGTATATGTGCTCTATATTTCTACACTAATGGTGACATAAACATAAGATTTAATTTTATAAATCTTATTTATTCATTTCTGTGTCTGCTGGATTGGCCATGTTTTTACCTGTTACTGAGAATGTGTCAGTGTGGAAGTGCTGCGCTCACTGGTGGGGTGGAGGGGATACAGGAGGAGAAAGGGAGGCAGAAGAGCCGTTGTCCAGCTCTTCCCCAGCTGCTCAGCGATTTCCCCACCACTGGCTGATGAAATGGAGACCACACAGCCATGTGGCAGAGGCAGAGGCTAAGCAGCAGAGGTGCTGCCGTTTAAGGCGCCCTGAAAGGCACACTTCCCTGCTGTCATGCGTGTGTCCCCGAGGCAGGAGTCATTTGGATTGTGCTTCTCTGCTGTCCCACTTAGCTATGTCATTTTGTGGTTTGCAACCTCTGCTAACACACACGATTAGGACAGTAGTGTGATAGTGGCCTGAGCTGCTTGGTTTCAGTAATTTTTAAGAAAAAACATTAATTTTGTTTCTGAAGCATTTTCCTTTAGGGAACTTTTTCTCTCTTAACACGTTTCTGTATCAACAGATGAGCGTTTTCTAACTCTTTGTTTCCTTACTTGTAAAATGGGTATACAGCTGCTACCTACCTCAAAGGGTTGTTGTGAAAGTCAGTTGAAATACTGCATTAAAATCTCACGCATTGTTAATTTTGGGGCTGTGTGGTAAGATGTGACCTTAGTTGTTTCTGTCATTGTGCACAGGGTCATAGGAGGGACTTAAAAAGGCCTAGATGGGATGGCCTGCTACACACCTGGGCTATATGGTGTGTATAGTCTGATGTTCCTGGGCTTTGAGCCTGCAACTTGTTACTAGATGAACGCTGGAGACAGTTGTAACACAGTGGTTAGTGTTTGTGTATGCAAACATCCCTAAACAGGAAAGGTACAGTAGATATATTGGACAATAAGAATTGGCCACTGTATTATAATCTTCATGGGACCGTCATTGTATATGTAGCCCAGTGTTGCCTGAAAGGTTTTGGGATTGACTTTACTTAGCATATAGCACACATACAATAAGCATAAGAGTCCTGATTTGCACAGATTCTGGCTTTAAGAAGTTGATTAGTTAAGTATCAAGAGGTGATATGTATGTATGCGCCACTTCTTCCAGATGAGTATAATTATTATACATCACAAACATGCGAATAAAAAGAAATTCATTAATTTTTAGACAGTTTTAATATGTCCATAGTCTTTGCACTGGTCTCTTGAGTTTAAGAGGGATTGTGAACTTCATGAAATTGCTTGCAAAGGCTTACATGTATGTGCATTTTCCTGGAAAGAGGGTCTGTAGTTTTTGACCCTGGCAGCTAATCAGTAGATTTACATTGCAAGTAATTTAGGAATTAAGATTAAGAACTGGTGTGCAGGGGCTCTGCAGTATGTCCCTTAGAGCCTCGAGTCAGCTCCTGCTGGGCAGAAAAGTACGCAGACATTGCCTCTTTGCTTTGTGCCCAGCACTCTGCCAGTCTCTTCACACAGTTTAACCTGTCTGATCCCTACAACAGCCAGTGTCCATTAAATCTTGCCTTCAGGGAATGGCAGGATTTGCCCTGGCCTGGATTGGTTTGCTGCCCACGTGGCCGTCCTTGCTGTGGTGCCCGCCTTTGCCTTCACTTTTTTAGGGAGAACCTGGGTTTACCTGTGGCTGTGGTTAGGTCACTTGTAAGAGGAGGTGGCTTCTGTCCTTACCCTGAATAAGTGTGCTACTGGTGTTAGGAATCTGCTCTCTGCGCCCTTTTGTGCTATACTAATGACTGAACCCAGGGGCTCCTCACTGAGCTATGTCCCCAGCCTGTTCTTGTCTGTTTTTGTTTGAGGTATGAGGGAATTGAATTTGATTCCCAGCTCTTTAAAAAAAAAATTTTTTTTTTTTGAGACAGGATCTCACTAAATTTCCTAGGCTAGGCTTGAACTTGTGATCCTCCTGCTCCAGCCCCGCCACAGTGCTGGGGTTACAGTGTGTACCATCATGCCCAGCTCTAAGAACCTTTTAAAATTAAGTAATTGATTGATTTTTGTAGAATGGGGATTGACTACCACTGAGCTACATCCTCATCCCTTTTTAAATTTTATTTTTTGACAATATCTTGCTCAGTTACCCGGGTGGCCTCAAATGTCAAACAACTGACCTAGCCTCCTGAGTCCCTCAGAACCCTTTTAAAATGGCAGCAAATTTTGTTTTCCTGTCAGCAGTTGCAGTGGTTTATCTTTAGTGTACTTTTGTGTTTTGTTTTTTTTTAAAGTGTGACCAAAGCTACATTAAATTCTCTGTTTATTCATCTTAATAGCATCTATATACATGTGAAGCATAGTAGTCGTGCTTGCTGTTTTGCTTTTGTTGTTTGGTTTCAAGTAAAACTTTGTGTTAAGAATTTA